TCTAGACTGATCAACCAGCCGGGTCATGCACTTTTCGAAGACGCCGAAAGACACGGCTATGACGTTTTAGGTCCCGAAGAACCCACTCATGTTCCGACGGATCCACGAAGTCGTCCGGATGTATTGGACATCGTGCTCGCTAGGAACATCAACTACCCGATAGTGGTAGAGGTGCTGTACGACCTGGACTCCCAGCACCTCCCGATCTTTTTCCCTATTAAATTACTTTTTTATTAAATTAATTACCCTTGGCCTAAGGGCGGTGACTACGCCGCCCAGAACAGTAAAGACACGTGTCGACTGGAGGCTCTTCCACAAACACCTGCAGGAGAGACCTCCAGCACACCACCCCTTAAACACAGCGGACGACGTAGAGGCCGCAGCCACTAACATGACAAAGGCGATTCAAGAGGCCCTCAATGCTGCCTCTATGATCGTCCCGATGTCTACCAGAAGGGATGATCTGCCGCGACACATTCGCGTGCAGATCAAGAGAAAAAGGGCCTTAAGGAGACTCTGGGCGCGTACTCGCTGCCCGAGAATCAAGATGAAATTGAACACCTTATCGGAGGAATTGTCGGTTGCAGTCCTGGCAAACAGAGGAGATGCCTGGGAGCGGCGCATATGGAAGGCGGAAGAGCATGATGCGTCGCTCTATAAACTGAACCGACAGTTAACTAAAGCCAAACCTCCCGTTTGCCCGCTGACCAACAACGCGGGCGAACGTCGTTACGATGCCAAGGGTAGAGCGGATATCCTAGTAGAGCACTTCGAGGAGCAATTTATGCCGAACCCAGCAAGTGCGGAGTTCTTGGAGCTTCATGCCCAAAAGGAGAGTCGCGTACAGGAGTTCCTGTCGTCACCCGCGCCGCCTCTTGCAGGAGAGTGGTTCATCTCCCCCGCTGAACTGCGGTGGACAGCAACCCGCCTGCAACCGAGGAAGGCGCCGGGGCACGACGGGATTACCAACGCTGCACTCCGACAGCTGCCCCATAGAGTCCTAGTAGAGCTTGGTCGACTCTACAATGGGATACTGCGGACATCCCACTTCCCGAAGGACTGGAAGAAAGGCAAAATAATCGTCTTGCCGAAACCCGGGAAGGACAGGCGTAGAGCTACCAGGTACAGGCCGATCACGCTGCTACCACACATAGCTAAACTGCTTGAAAGATTGTTGCTAAGACGCCTCCGCCCGTGCATCCAACTTCGGGCGGAGCAGCACGGATTCAGGAGGGGTCACTCTACAGAAACACAGCTGACCAGAGTGCTGCACCTGCTTGCGGCCGATTACAACCGTGGCCGCACTACGTTGGGCGTCTTTCTCGATATCGAGAAGGCGTTCGACAGGATGTGGCATTCTGGACTACTTTATAAATTGGAAGAACAGACCAGTGTCCCTCCTGCTATGTTGCGGCTAGTGGCGTGTTTCCTGGCAGACAGGAAGTTCTACGTCTGCGTAGAGGGCGCCGAGTCCGCAACCAGAACCATCAGAGCCGGCGTTCCCCAGGGCAGCTGTTTGTCTCCAGTCCTGTACGCGGCTTATACCAACGACATCCCTACCCTGGCAGGAAGGCTGCAAGAGTGGGAGGATGACGTGGAATTGGCGTTATACGCGGACGATAGCGCTTATTTCACCTCGTCCAGGAGAGCCCACATTGCCACTGCCAGGATGCAACGCCTCCTGGACCTGCTGCCACCATGGCTAGACGAGTGGAGGATGGTCGTCAACGTTGGTAAGACGACCGCTCTGCTCACTCGCCGCCTCAGGAACCTACCACCTCAATTAACCCTCAATGGCCAGCAGATCGCGTACGAGAAGGCCGTGACCTACCTTGGGTGCCGGATCGACCGGGCGCTGCGCATGACTGCGCACGTCGACCTCGTCGTCCGCAGAGCACGATGTGCGCGGGCGATGCTACGTCCGGTCCTGGCATCCAAGTTACCACTTAATACCGAAGTGCGTGTTTACAAAACCTACATTAGATCCATCATCACCTTTGCTGCTCCGGCCTGGTACGCGCTTCTGAGCGAGCCTCTGAGGCGGCGACTGCAGGCCCAGCAAAATATGGCGTTAAGAACCATCGTCGGTGCGGGTCGCTACGTCCGGAATGACGTCATAGCGGCCAACCTGAAAATTGCTACCATCCAGGAGTTTGTGGCCCGGCTGGCGCGCGGACTGTTCGACCGTGCAGACAACGGGCCACACATACATCTTAACAACTTTGCGCCGCTACACACTCGCCCTCCGGACGGGCGACCCTATCCAAGAGAACTCCTCTCTATATCGATTAGAGAGTCGAGTAACAACCCACAATGCCGCTGATAGGCCAACTTTGACTTCTACCAGATAACCTCTCTTTTTTCGTAGTCTAACCGACTACGAAAAAAAAATCAACTAACTACGGAAAAATCCGGTTATTACACCTACAACGCCATTAGAAGGCTCCCAGGACCGGTCCATAGTGGTGGACCGCGAGGACAATCCATCAGGATTACCATACCATCAGGTGCATGAAGACGACATCAACGTTGCAATTCGTTCGGGAATCCTTCGGGAAACTTCGGGAAAGTTCGGGAAAAGTGCAAGACCAGCAGTCAATAAGAAGAAGAAAGAAAAAGTATAGGGAAGTGATAGGGAAAAGTAATTATTCTCTCACGGAACTGTTTGAAGATAATTGCTGTTTTATTCCCAAGAAATTCTTCCCTCAAAATAATACAGTCCACATCGAAGAATTAAGGCGTTGGGACCGGGACGACTTCGGAAGACCCGTAATCCCCGCCTGAACCTATTTTCTGAAAAGGAAGAGGTTATCGCCCTTGTGTGTTACTCCGTTGCGGAGATCACATACGTTGTTCCCGAACCCAACGTAGGCGCTATAGGAGGCCGAATCGAGAGAAGCCTCGATTCCTCCCTTCCGTTTCTTAGTTAACGTTTGTCTGGTTCCTTTTCACCTCACATCACGAATTTTGGAGGGAAGCCATCCTAAAACTGCAGAGCATAAAATTTATAGATAATCAAGGTAAAGAAACATCTGTGCCTTCATTAAAAAACTGGATAACAACTCTTAAAAGTTATCAGAGATTATGTACATAATTATCTAAGTGCAAAATTATTAAAGTTTTACGCCCGTGGTATTTAAATTCTGATCCTATATAAAAACTTTTTTGGACAAATGCAGGCGTACAATTTTAGAAATACAAATCCGGATTGTCAAACATTCAAAAGTACCTTTAGATCACTGTTAATCACAAGGTTTATAAAGTTCCACTCAGATAGTTATAATTGTGAAGAGGATTCTGGTGAACAATTATTAAAATAATTATTTTGTACAAAAGAAAAAATTGATAATACTAAGCAAATCCCTTCATTTGAGTCCTAGGAGCTATCGAGTTGGGTAGAAAGTGAAAGTTCAGCAAAACAGGAAAAACTTAATATTCACTCACGTGCATATATACCACTGGGTGGGTCGTAAGAAACATACTAAAAACATTTATTGTCAGCAGTTTGAAACTCATTTAACGAATAGGGATTCCAATTTTGATAAAAATTCTATCAATAATTGGATTTACCTTAAAGAATTTAAAAGTATAAAAGAAAAGAAATTGATCTACCCTTCGGTAAACGCTGTGAGATTTTTTGGGATAGTAACACAAGAAGCAAATAAATACTTAGAAACTTAACCTCAACAGAGATTTATTATAAAAACATAAAAACTCTTATCAAATCTAAGTATTTATTTGACTTTATAAGCTGCGAACTGCATAAGGATGCTGTTTTTGAACACTTTTTAACTTTAACTTTAAGATTGACAGTGTTTAATTGGTGCAATATTATAAATAAAATATTGAAAGGTACAGATGTTCTAAGATTAGAAAATAAAACTTAACCTCCGATGCAATTAAAATATTTTAATAAATTTAAAACAAAATTAAGTTATTAACATTAATTAATTTAATAATTAAATTAACAAAATTAAATTAATTAATATTTTTTATCAATTTGTATTACTTAATAATTAGTGTAGGGCGACACCCCACTAGATGGAGTGACATGTGTCATGAGTGGATAGACGAGTACAGTTTAACTCTATGGGAGTGCCCTGTCAATGTTAAATTGTTATGGTTAATGTTTCCTTCTGTACTATTTAGTTAATTAATTATATTTAAAATAAATAAATTAAACCACAGATATTCATAAAGTAGACATTAAATGACATTATGTGCGTCTGCACTGCAGACAGTTACAAACTTTCATTATATGAATACATTACATTATGTGTGTTATAAATAACATATACAATCTATACTTCGGGTGCAATTAATACTGTATGTTCATTACAAAAGTTCAAAGTAACTAAATATCTTAACGGGCATGCAACCAGATTGTACCTACCCTAATTATTGTATCAAGAAACATACATTGTAACAGTTCTAAAGAGCTTTATTTTATCTACCTTGTTCTATTCTGAAAAGTGTAATAAAAAACTTTACCTCAGTGTCTACTAGCGACATCTGATGAACGGAAGATTATTAAGCCCTCATTATTTCAATTTAATTTTTAATTATTTAACACTCTTTTTTTAAATTATGATCTAAAATAGTACTTAACGATTGATAGCTAATCAACTATTATTGATGAGTCAAGAGTCCAATTTCTCACAAATTTAGGAAAGGCAAGTTTCTAAACACAATTTGAAATTCGAATCCCAACGGAATCGAACTCACACGGTCGTGTCTATGACACAGCCAAATCCCGACTTTTTATAATTTTAATTCGGTAGTTGAGATCATCATAAATAAATTATTACCTGATTTAAAATCGATTTAATACCTATAGTGTCTTAAAACTTGGTCGGTTTTTTTTAAATATACAAGTAAGATTTCTATTGACTACTAGAAACTATGGCGTCATTTACTGGTATCCACATAAAATTTCTATTTAATTGACATGAGTGCCATGTGGTGCCATCTATTTACAGCTTGGCTGTGTAGAAACACTCTCACGTCTCACTCTTACGTCTGCTTCTTGTTAAAACTGGACTTCCATCTTCAAACGCATTCTGTCTTACCAGCTTTAACTTTTGCTTCATATTTTCTTTATTCTGATCTGTTTCCTTCTCTACATCCATTGAGGATAGGCCACTGTCTACATTGCCCTCTGCAACCTTCTCGATTGCCTCTGGGCTTTGTGAAAAACTGTTTTCACCATCTGAATTGTTAAACAGTACTATTTTTATGGATTTTTTGCCCTTCCTCTGAGTTGATGCTACGTTTATAGACTTAAGAATGCTTCTGCCTGGTGTCGCCATGAGGTTTATTTGAATTAGTGGCACTTGAGATTTCTGCAGAAGAATATAAACAATTAATTAAAAAACTATAATAAAAGTGAACCCACTATATAGTGACAGCTGGTAAGACATGCAGGCAGTCGATGAATGCAGGTGTCTCTGGACCGTGCTTTGTATCATTCCTTGGGGGAGGCCTAAGTTCAGCAGTGGACGAGGGCTGTAATGATGATGTTGAATAAAGACTGTCCATTCATTCATTACAGCGTAATGCCTCATAAGAGGTGTATTTGCCATAGTTGCACACAAGATGTGCCACACAGAGATTGCAGCCATTCAGCTGTTTGTTTCCCTCTGTCGCCTCTTATGAAGAATTAAAATGAGAACACATTTTCATCCATGAGAACTAAAATAGAATGGCCCATGCTTACTACGAAACGCAGCATCATTTTACACTGGTATTCTGTAATAACCTGGTCCTAAACCCATCAAATCGATCCATTAATGCTGCAGCCATAACAGGTTGCAGCATTAATGAATACCAAACCTGTTATTAGAGTCAAGGACAAATAAAATGACAGTGAAATTGCTTAGATTTCAATACTTATACACCTGCATCATTGATTTAAAATATCTAGCAGGAGCTGTGCTTGAAGTATCTGCTTTTCTAAATACAATATGTAACAAGCAACCCGGTGGTCCTTTTAAGGATGTATAGATGTACATATAGACATGAAATTTATGTAAGAATTTTTTTTGGTTATTTATGTTCATAATATGTAAAGCTGTCGCATTCTAACTTGGCCGGGCTGAAGTTAGTCGCACGAGGCTGCGCAGATATAGTTTTTAGGAACAAAATGGTACAGAGAGGAGTGAGAGGATGGGCGGTAGCTAAAACTAGAGACATATTGCGCGGTTACAATTACCACAGATTAAAAAAATGTTACGTAGAATCGATTACCTTTATTACAATACGACTTATTTTTACGATTCGATTTTATTTTATTGACGCGAAAACTTTTTAGAACCGTTGTGATTTGAAACTCGATTAAAAGAGAAAGCGGCACTAATAAGAAACAAATATATAAATATATTTATGGGATTTAACCTGCGAGAGAATGAGATAGAAATAGAATACATACATAGCATCCTTTTATCTCGGTCCCCACTTTGTGTGGTAAAGCACCGCATGGATAGATGATTAATGTAACTATTAACTGTTGAAATAAACAGTCAAAAATTAACAAATTTATTAAATAAATAAAATTACAATATTGAATAAAATTATCTTAATCAATTCTTAACAATCCATTTATTTCCAGCCATTTATAACAATCCACTTTTTATAACTTACCGATATTTATATATAATTAATAGTATTTTACGTACCATCTTGATTCCATCAATTTTAATCGATAAATGACTTGATTTTAACTTTTAGAGTCCCCGCAGACTACAGACTTTCTATCGGCCGATAGTTTGATCGGATTGGGCTGCTAGTGCGCACTGCGCACACTGGGCCAACAACACAATTGGGCTGGACGTGGGTGTGCAGACTAGCCAACCAACAATCGTCCGATTGATGCATTCGGTGGAGTTGGTGATGAGATCAGACGCGTGGAATGGTGCCCAGAAATATTATTATTGTTTACTTGGAAAAGAAAACTAAGAAAACAAAGGAGAAGAAGAATCAGAGTACTCTCATAAGTTCTTTTTATAGGTCGCTGGTCTTTTTTCAATTTCCTGAATTAGGTTTTCAATATACGTTTCGACAAGCAGCGACGAATTGAAATCTATTATGCACGGTCACCCACGCACATGACCTTTCCCGCATGTAACGCGGAGCGAACTGAAGCTACCGTACGACTCGGCCGATGAAATAATCTGCGAGTGTGCGTGCGGGGAAGAGTGCCGTACTGATCAAGCAGTCGGCCGATAGTTTAGTTTGAAGGCAATTGTGAAGCCCATCAAACGTTTTTTCGGCCGCTACGGAATCCCTGTAATGTGCGCATTTGCGTACCTCTTCATACTGATTAAGATACCGACCAAACTATCGGCCTATAGAAAGTCTGTAGTCTGCGGAGACTTTTAAATGAAGTAGATTTTACACTATTGCGTACATATTATTTTTGGGGTTACTACGTAATTATTTAATAGATTTAGATATACTATTGTTTTATTGAAATACATAAAGATATTTTCATTATAATAATTTTCAATAATCGATATAAACAAAATAAACTGTTTCCAATGTTAGGAGCGAATATGAAGTGGCACATCTCTATCGACTAACGTCTTTACATGCGTAAAAGCCAACTTCAGCCCGGCCAAGATAGGTGAGTAACTTCTAAATTCAACCTTGTGAATGCCATTAACATCTAAACTAATTGACATGCATATTGGTAAAGTGGGGTCTTTGACAATATTCTTAGTCCCGGACCTATGCAGAGGTAATAAATAAACCCACTTACAATTTGCCAATAAGAATGTGTTTAAATTAAATTTTATTTTTATGGTTAAGTTTTCTGAAAATAAAGTAAATTATATATGTTTAGAGTACAGATTCCGATAACGTACTTAAAGGGAACCATACAAGGGAAAATTTACATACATCTATTGCCTCTAATGCTGTGTCATCTTTCTTCAAACTTCTACCAATTTTTGATGCTCGCAGCATTGCTAACGACGTAGAATCCTGTGAAATAATTATGGATTAATTCGATTAATCAAGAAAAATACAAGACATTACCCAAGAACCTTGTTACTGAAAACGAGTGGAAAGTAAGAGGTGTGATGTGAAAAGAAGAAAATCCATTCACTTTGGGAGAGGATAAACAAATAATGGAAAACTTTTGTCGAAAATATTTAAAAGTATCTTTTTAAACACTGAAGACATTTATTCCCTACAACCTATATTTATATATTATGTGCGAGCATAGCTGCTTCCACATAATATAAATATAGGTCTAGGGAAAGAGAACAGTATCACTGCGACCTAGAAGATCTATTGTGATCGCTGCTATGGCTATAGTTCACGGCTAAGCCCTATGTCTTCAATGAATAGAAGGAGTTGCTTAGCCGTGAGCAATTTCACTTCTTCTGGGCGGAGTACATAGTTTCCCAGATGAGTGTTACGTTTGCGCATTAACCTTTTGAGCGCTACGCCAAAAACGCATTACCGTGTCCTGTACGCCAAAGCGAAAAGTAAACAAAAATACCTACGAAAAAATAGTGTTGCCAAGAGTTGATGTAACGATATACCAAAATAACTTGTTGGTTTTTTATGCAATAAATGACTCTTGAAATTTTCTTTTATTTATGTAGCTGATGATAGTTTTATGTTTCTTACATTTTGTTTTATTCAAATATAATTTTAAAATAACACGTTTGCGTTTAATTTTGAATAGTTTTCAATAAATCCATGCCTAACGCATTACAACACTAGCGGTCAAACATAGACAACTTTGGCGTGTTGAACATAGACATATTTGCTTAGATAAAAATCCATTTTTTCGGTTCAATGTTTCTTAGTACTTGTGGCTCTAGGAAACTTTTTTATACTAACATGTTGCTGGGTTATTCTTTTTTGAGGAGTGTGGAATTAAAATACCAGTAATAATTTTCCAATATCTATATTTCATATTTTTGTGGGCCGGGTTTTTTGCCAACTATAGACGTCGTTGGCGCTCAGGGCCCGCAGGTGCTGGTCAAGTATAGGCGACTTTGGCGCTCAAAAGGTTAAGGATCCGCAATCAGTTAGGATGTGTAGAGGCGTTTCTTCCGTTATGGAACAGAACCGACACATCCTTGAGTTGCTTAGTCCCAGGATGGATATGTGCTTTTTAAGACAACAGTGTCCAGTTAGGGCTCTCGCCATAATGCACAATTTATTTTTACTTAATCCCAGGGCTTCTGAAGCGAATTTACGATCAAAAGCCCGGATTAAGGTTTTAGAATGTTTTAAGCCTGGTTTCAGACCAGATCTTAACTGTTTTTGTGATAGTTTCAAGCGTCAATAGGGCTAGGCTTCTTGAGATTCCACAAAATGGCTCTGGTCCAAATTGTGTGCACTTTGAGCCCTCCCGTGAAAGTTTGTCGGCAAATTCGTTGCCTACAATACCCCCGTGATCTAGAACCCATCTTAAAACAACCCTGTTGTTACATCCCAGGGCGTTTAAACGGTTCACGCAGTCACCAGTTAGCTTCTAGTTAACAGAGTTTGACCTCAGCGCTAGCAGTGCTGCTTGACTATCAGAGTTTATGTAAATTATATGGTTGACGTAGTGTTTTTGCAGATTGATTTCCGCACACCGAAATATGGGGAAAATTTCTGCCTGGAAGATAGAGGTGTATCTACCCAAATTCATACTAAGTTTGAAGTTGGGGCGTTCCCCGTAAATTCCAAAGCCTACGTCGAGGCCCATTTTAGACCCATCGGTATACCATATGAGGCTACCGACCTCACAGATAACCTTGCTATTCGGCCAGTCTTCTCTGGAGGGTAATTCCACTATATAATTTTTATCAAAAGTGTGTAGTGGACGCTTGATATCTGAGATCATGCATAAGACCGGTGATTCCTTAATTGAGTCGAGCATGAATCTCAATCTGCAGAGCAAGCTCAGGCAGCAGGGCAGTCAAGTCAAGGTAACTGCCTCGTTGTTCTAGTGGTTGTAGTAGTGCGACTGCTAATCATGAGGTCCTGGGTTCGAATCCCAGGTCGGGCCAAAAAATCAATTATTGAGTTTTTCTGTAGAGAAATTCTCAGTAGCTGCCCGGAGTCAGGAAATTGGCGGTGTCTCACCCCCGTGCCTCGGAAAGCACGTAAAGCCGTCGGTCCTGCGGTGATCTTTCTCCGGTCGTGTCGGTTTAACGTCCCGTCGGATTATGAGAGTGAGGGAATAGAGAGTGCACCTGTGCTTGCGCATACACTTGGGCACTATAATCCCGTCCTGCGCCGATGGCTATTCTCCGTTGAGGCAGGCCGCCGTAGTCGAAATTAGGTCTGGAGAACATTATTATTATTATAGATGTCTATGAGACACAGCATTCACTTACCATCAGGTGGACTGTGTGTTCGTTTGTCACGCATATTCTATAAATAAATAAAATCCGTAATTGCCCCATTCACTTGGGATTGGTGATAGCATGATTGCAGTACGAGATATACCTCCATCAGTTTGAGTATTTTATATTTGAGATACACAAGATGGCAAAACCACTACCTATCAGAGGTCAGTGTTTTGGCCATTTATTTATTTCTATTCGCCTCTTAAGACACCAATGTGAAAAAATTAAGAAAGTTATATGATGAGATTAATGAAGTGAGGTGCGGTAGTGAATCTTTTTTTTAAATAGAATAATGGTGACAAAAAGGCACAAAATCCACCTGATGGTAAGTGGATGCTGTGGCCCATAGACATCTACATTTATTCTCGATTAAGAATCAAAACGCAGATGCGTTGTCACCCCTGAGGACTAAGACGGTATGCCTCAATTCCAGTAAAACGCATCTCCGGTTATCTACACTCACCATATAAAACACAGAAGCATTAAACTGCTATTTTACGCTGGTATTCTGTGAGAGTGCGGTCCTTCCCCGGTCGAGCTGACCCATGCTTGCTACAACCATAATATAGCTGCAGCGTGGCTCTACCACGTGCTAATGCCTGCCTGAAAAATTACTATAATTATCAAGAAATGGAATAGCAGATGAAATGCTAGACATCTGGAACTGTGATAGCCTATTCGCCAAGCGCTGATTGTGGAAAATTATTCTAATTTGGGAGAGGTGGATTGTCTCTAAATGCTAATCCAATATATATTATAATATCTGCTAAGAGATAGGCCTCTGACGAACAACAAACAGCTACATATTGTAAATATATCTTTTAAAAAAGGCCAAACCATGTATGATATCTTCTTATTACTACACTCAGCGTCACAAAAATCACACCTCTCTGAGTTTGCGCGAAAAATGGCTGTAATGGCTAGAAACGAATTATATTTATATAAATATTGGTATGTTTGAAATTGGTATTTGAATAGATTTACATGATTCTGTCAAACACTGTTTGAACACTGTCAAATGCTCGTTAGTAAGGACGCTAGTTACACCACCTAAAAAGGGTATAAAAGGGTCGATCTAGATGAAATATGGGTCGTAATTTAGACTTTACAGTGAACACACGTGAACAAGTAACCCAAGTAAGAACAAGTAAAGATGGACACCAGCTCTGAAGAAGCCGCTCAAGTAATTGCCCTATTGCAGTCGGGGATGCGGCAGTGTGACGTTGCTCGACAGTTGAACCTGTCCCGTTTTTCAGTTCGACGGGTGTTCCAACGTTTTCAGCAGACTGGTTGTTATGTTAGAAAACCGGGATCTGGAAGAAAACGGTGCACATCAGAAAGAGATGACCGTTTCATCGTTACGACATCTTTACGAAACCGTTTTATAAATGCTGTTGAGTTGCAACAAACATCTGTGAGTGTTTCTACGATAAGAAGAAGGTTACACAAAAAGAGTTTAACAGCCCGTAGACCTGCTAAAGGTCCAAAACTTACTGCACAGCATCGCAGAGATCGCCTAGAGTTTGCTCGCAATCATTGCGAGTGGATTCTAGAACAGTGGCGGACCGTACTCTTCTCTGATGAGACGAGGGTCTGTCTCTTCTGCAATGACCGACGTAGAAGGGTCTACAGAAGACAGGGGGAGAGGTTCACACAACCCTGCTTCGAAGAATCCGTCGAATACGGGGGTGGCTCGTGTATCTTTTGGGGCGGCATTTCCGTCGACGGGAAAACGGAACTTGTGTGCGTTTACCGGACTCAGGGTGACCGTGGGCAAGAGTCATTAAATTCTGGTCGGTACATTACTGAAATCCTGGAGGAACATGTGGTCCAGTATGCTGGTTACGTCGGTGATGGATTCATGTTAATGCATGATAATGCTTGTTGCCACACCGCAGCTATTGTATGGAATTATTTACAGGAGGTCGATATCCCTGTTATGCATTGGCCAGCACGAAGTCCAGATCTTAACCCAATAGAACATCTCTGGGATGACCTAAAACGGCGCGTGCGAGCTCGAGATCCAGCTCCAACCACTCTTCAAGAGCTCCAAGATGCGGTACTTGAAGAGTGGGAACAAATGCCCCAAGAGGCTGTTGCGACCGTTGTAAGGTCCATGAAAGATCGCATGGAAGCCGTTATCAAGGCAAGGGGGGTAACACTAGGTTTTAAGAACTTTTTTTGTATTTATTAAGTTTTTTTTTTAAATTATTAATTTGCAAATTTGTACATACCCTGTCTTTTTCTTTAATTTCTCTTTCGTCTCGTTATAAAAGTAAAATTCCTGAAAGCTAATTAAATTACCTTTCGAATGATACCCTCAAACCACAACATTGCCATTGGCCTGTTGTGTTAAAATAGTATTTAAATTATTTTTTTCGGATGTGCGATTTTTTTGACGCCGAGTGTATATCAGTAGAACCATACTTAAGCGACATTAGCTTAATGGTTAAAGGTGCAGAACGTAAACTTAAATAGCTGTGAATTCCGGGCTACAATTGAAACCGCCATTGTGCCAACTGTTGTGTGGTGAGTGTAGAGAACCGGAGACCCGTTTTACTGGGATCGAGGTATTCCATCTTAGTCCTCAGGGGTGACAACGCATCTGCATTTTGATTCTTAATCGAATGTAGATGTCTATGGGCCACAGCATCCACTTACCATCAGGTGGACTGTGCGCTAGTTTGTCATCCTTACCCTATAAAAAAGGCAGTTTTGGAGAAGGCTAATTGAAAATTTTTCTATCTAATTTAAAAAATATATAAACTGATAATTTATGTGACACTAAAAAAATCATGATGGAAAATTTCAATGACTGACAGCAATAGGCATTTACCTTAGAAACTGAAGCAGCTTTTTTAGCCTCACTAGCTAGCACATCCTTTAACAAACCGAATTTGTTCGAAGGTGTACTGCGAGGACTAAGAGTTCTGATTGGAGAGCACACGCAGAAGAAACCCCCCTTAAAAATTTTTGTTGTTGAGTTTGTTGGATCTTCTTCGCTTGGTACTGTTGGAGGATCTTCATTTTTCTTTGCTTTTCTTGCCGCTGAACATAAAAAAACATTTAATTAATTAGACATTATTTTTTCATAATTCAACCTTCTTAGATAAATATATTATAATTATTTAAAAAAATAACAATTAAAGGTGACGAAAAAGCACACATTCCAACTGATGGTAATATGATGTGGCTCAAACTATCAAAATTCTTTGATTAATAATCAAAATGCAGATGCGTTCTCACCCTTAAGCCTAAGATGGAATGCCTCAATTCCAGTAATAAGGGTCTCCGGATCACTTACCATAAGAAGCACAATAGTATTAAGCTGCTATTTTACGGCTGGTAGTCATGTAGGGCTTGGTCCTCCCTGGTTTAGCAGACCCCTTCATGCTACAACCATAATATAGCCGTAACTGAATTGCATTGTATAACCTTATCAACTCTTACAATATAATATGATCTTACGCCACCACAATCACGCAAATTTATGTTGCAGAAGTGAACTGCCTAGGGTAAAGCTTATCGACCAAATTGGCGATATATGCGCCAAATTAAGAGTACCCCTTAACTGACGAGCATGTTCGCGTAGGTATATGGATGTGGGGGACGCGAGAGAGGTATGTCAGGATCGTGCCAAATGGAAGTCCGTAGTCTCTGCCTACCCCTCTGGGTGAAAGGTGTGAATGTTTATGTTTATGTAATTATATGTATACTACATATATAAATAAGTACTCATTATCATTTATATATATAAGATCTAGAGGCAACGATGCGGCAGATGAACTGGCCAAAAGGGATCGGCTCTGGCAACTACAGGGCCGGAACCTATAATACCAATCCCTTTTAGGTACGTTCGTTCACTGGTACGTAGATACTTCAATAATTTACACTCTCAGCTATGGAAAATTTTTGTAGACTGTAGACAAGCTTGGGAGGCTCTGCCTGAAATAAACAGTCATCTAACCAAGGTTCTGATGAGACTGAACAAGCCACAGATCAGGATAGTAACAGGTGCTATCACAGGACATGGCTCTTTTAACAAAAATTTGTTTACGATAGATGTTAATGATAGCCCTCTGTGCAGGGCACGCATGAGAGGAAAAAACGGCGGCTCACGTGTTGCTAACATGTCCAGCAGTCGCTTCATACAGGGCTAAACATCTCGGCATGCCGGGATCGCTCCCCGAAGCTGCTTGCAACATCAAAGGACTGTTGAACTTCTTCGGGGAGTTATCATGGCTCGAATAATCACATTATTCCTGGCCACACGCAAAATACGCTCTTAGACGTGGAGTTGCGGAAAAAAGCCCGTCGAAAACTAAACTAAAAAGTACCTATTACATACAAGATGTATTTATCAGTATACTGTACATAATATTTAGTTGAAAAAAAAATAATAATTTGTGTAATTATGACCAAATTTTGTTTATTTCTTTCTGTATGCATGTGTGTGGTGTTACACAGTCATCAAATTATATCACAACATAAATGTATACAGAAATTGTGTCCGTCCTTTGTATTATTTTATAATAGGTAAATTTTAAATGAAATAAATAAATTTATATCTGAAAAAGGCAATTGCTCACCAGCTATAAGATCACGAAGGCGACTAGTCGCGGCAGGCTTGCTCTTATTTTTAGCTGTTTTAGGGGCTCTTTTCTTTTGTATCACTGGCGTTTCCTCAATCCAATTGCGGGCTTGAAGCTCTTCTAGTTTCTTGAAGTTCAAGATCACATTTTCGACCTGATGATGATGAAAAATATGATTTGATTTAAACAAAAATTTATCATTTTTGATTGTTAATGTGCTGTAAATTTGGTATTTTTTATAGCACTGTGTGACAAACGAGTACACAGTCCACTTGTGGTAAGTGAATGCTGTGTGGCCCATAGACATCTACTACACCTAAGGATCAAAATGCAAGTGTTGTCACCCCATCGAACTAGATGTTTTCTACACTCACCATACAAAACACAGCAGCATTACGCTGCTACTTTACGCTGGTATTGTGTGAAAGCGTGGTCCTGCGCCAGTCGAGCCGACTCATTGGTGTTACAACTATAATATAGATGTAGCGTGTCTCTAACACATAAAAAACTTGTCTCTGAAATTGCATCTTAAACCAATACCATGAATATGTATTAAGTTTAATAGTGTGAGGAGTGAGAGCCTCTATTTTATCACGTTCAATTATAACTAAATAATATTATAGTTATATTGCTATAGCCAAAGGTAAGAAACGACTAGGATCACAAGGTTGTTGCTGCGTTCAGACACGGATGGATATTGAACTTGGGCTTTGATTGTTGTACACCCTAGATTTATGGGTAACTAACTGTGCCTGGCATGCGAAATAAAGCCTCTTTTTAACGAACTTCAATTAAGGAATGAATAAGGAATGACTTCAAATGATAGGGGGTAGGGGATATTCTTAAGCAGTGTAGTGAGGGTGTAAGAATATACACATATACATATCACAAGATGTTCCACTAAAAAGGGTCAAAATTTTACTATTAACGAAAATCAGAAACTGACTTCAAATAAATAAAAAGATCAAATAATTTCCACATAGTCTGGAGTCGGGTTGCTGGTTTCAAGGGTGAAGCAGTATAATAATAATATCCTCCAAACCTAATTTCGGTCACGGCGGTCAATCTCAATGTAGACTAGCTAACTGTGCAGAACATGACTAAAGTGCACACAAGTCAGTTCAAGTGAGTATGCGCGCAAGCACAGGTGCATTCTCTATACCGTCAATCTCATAGTCCGATGGTACGACAAACCGATCCGACTAGGGAGGGGTCCGGTGCAGAACCAACGGTTTTACATGCTTTCTGAGGCACTGGAATGAAACCTCCGTGAATGTGAATGAAACCAAATAACTGACTCTGGACTGCTTCTGAGAACTTCTTGACAGAAAAATCCAATAACATTTTGCTTGTCCAAAGATTCAAATAAGGCAGTCAATCAATATAATTACCGGCTGTGAATCATACTGCATGGACAGTAGACATTTAGACATAATGTAACGTTGATAATACAAATATTAGAAATATGACAGTAATCTTATTTATATTAATAATATTAATAATAGCATGAAACCACAATCTATCTCACAAGTAATACATATTATATTAAATTAGATTGCTTAGTGCGATTGCCAAGTCAATCTATATATTTAAAACATAAAAGACTTTTAAAATTGATACGGTCATTATAAAATGTTGTTAGGTTAGCTAATTACGTAATAACTTAAAACAGAAGAACCCTTAAGTAGAAACTGAATAAATTAACCCACTTGGTATTACATGGATCTCACAACTTTTTACGGTAGAAGAACTGAGTTGCGAGACTTGGTTTTTTTACAAGTTATGTTTTTAATGGCATCTCATTTCTTTTTGTATATAAGATAGTCCTAATTTTTTTACCTTTCCGATACCTTTTACTTCTTGAGTACCAACAACGTACCTATGTACCTACACCTGTAATACATAAACAAGTACACTGATTCATTCACTGCAAATTTAACTTTGTAATTCTATATATTTATATGGGATTACAAAGTTATTTATGCAGTTAGTGTATCTAGAAAACTGGACAGAAATTAACAAATGTTTTAGTTTTTCCTTGATTTATACACTAAACACTAATTGTATTCTAAATTTGAAGCTTCTATGTCTGCTAGAAGTGCCTTAGAGTTTTGATGATCGGTCAGTCAGTGAGTGACAAAATTAAGAAACTTTGACTAGTTACAATTCTTACTACTGGTTCAAATTGAAGAAAATTTGAAATGTACCATGTTTATACAATGCTTACTCGGTTACTGAAAACTCAGGCTATACGAAGTTATAGGGGGTCGAAAATGGCCTAAATTGCTTCGAGAAAAGATGGTACGGCCGTGCCGCTTTTTTGCTCGACTTGGCGGGGGCACTGCCGTGCCCCCAGATTTACAACTCACAGATAAAAAATTATAATATTTACTTACTTCTTATTTCATAACAAAATAGAATTTCGTAATAGACGAAAACCAAAAAAGAAGAAAGGGGCATGAAATAGGAGGTCACTTGCTCACTTTCAGATAAAACATTGTTATATTCACTTGCTTTACTTATTTAGAAAAGTTATAAAACTTTGAAATAAACAAAAAGCTAAAAGGAAGAATGGAGCATGAAATCAGTGATCACTTGCTCACCTGTATATAAATCATTTCCCAAAAGCCCTCGAGGTCGGTAGGCGTGACGAGTCCAGTGGTGGGGTCGGGGCGCTCGCAGGCCGCTACCAGCGACCCGAACTGCGCCAACTTCTGCGACACCAGCAGCCGCGCCTGCCCCACAGCGCACAGCACCATCTCCTACAAGCAAACCATCTGAATACGAGGTAGAGCGATGCTGCAGTTATTTTATGGTTATAGTACAAATGGGCCGGCTCGACCCGCTGAGATCACCCTCTCACAGAATACCAGCTCAATGCTACTGTGTTTTGTATGGAGAGTGTAAGGAACCAAAGATCCTTTTTACTGGAAACTAGGCATTCCATCTTAACCCTCAGGGACGACAATGTATATTCTTAATTAAAAATAAATGTAGAAATTGATGGGCCACAGCATCCACTTACCATCAGGTGGACACTGAGTGCTAGTTTTTCAACCTTATTCTAAAGACAAAAACAACCATCTTTACTACATGCTCATATTAACATAATAGTGCTTCTTTTATCTATTGAAATATTGATCATGGTGCAATTTTGATGTTAATACCTCTTTAAATTTGCTTATATAATGGAATGCAATTCTGAAAACTGATGATAAAGTATGTAAGTAAAATAGTTAACTACACCACTCAATAGCTAAAGGATCAGCAAGCGGTAAGGCAAGAGGGTGAGTGCCACCGAGGTTGTTTCGTTACATACACATATTCACATAAAACATACGGCCGTGTCCACGACACAGCCACATCCCGTTTTTTTATTTATACTGAGTAGTAAAATTATAGCACTGACTGGTTTCAACTCCACATCTAAGCACAAGTAATGTGAAGGCACGCGTTGATGCTTTTCAAGTCCACCGATCTTGAGAAATCCCAACAACTTCTCAATGTTGCAAAAGCTTAAAGTAGTTTCATGCTAACTTGCGAAGCACCGCACCTTTGCCTGAGTAAGATCTATTAATGTGGCGTAATTTAGATATAATGTAATTAAAGACTAGAAAGTAAAATATATCTTGTATTACTGTTACGAGCTTGAGGTTCGTGACAATAAAATTGCCGAAAGAATTACCTAAATTAACACTTTAATTTTCTTTACACTAATTAAAACTTAAAACACTAATAATTAATCACACTGATTCACTTTATTTCGTTCCGAAGCTTCGCTTGTCTCGCCAAATTCAATACTTCCCCGATCGCACCTTGCAGCGCATCCAGAACATTCAAGTAAATACGCGCGCCAATCGACTAAGCATCGAAAGTTCAAGTGTCGGGCTTCTAGAAGCTTATTTCTTCGCTTCGACACTAGATGGCGCTGTCGGTTGAAAGATTAGTGATGTCATTTTCTGGAAAGTTCCCCCCGCTCTCGACCCTGACACTAGATGGCGCTAGTGCCGGGTACATGACGTCAACTTAGGCGCGCAACATTACTTTTGGCATTACTCTTGAAACAGAAACAGAAACTTTTTTATTCAATGTAGATTATAACAAATACTTATTGAAAGTCAACTTTTTCATTTACCACTGGTTCGCAAAAAAAAACCTCTGTCCTGGGAAGAACCAGCAAGAAACCCAGCGGGACTATTTTTTTTTCCAATAATAGCTTACAATAAGCAACACAAGACTAATTAGAAATAGCTTGGTAGCGATCACCCTTCCCAGGGGTTATTATCATCCATAAATTCCTTAATATTATAATAACCCTTTTTATACAAACTTAGTTTATACAAACTTTGTGTATGATAACTTTTGTATATTTTGTGGGATTTTGTTGTAAAAGCGTATACGTCGCCCCAAGAATGAATTACTGACTCGGAGGAGTCGAGTAACTGGTACCACTAGCTTGTGTCTGTTCCTAGTATTTACAGAATGAATATCACTTACTTTCGTAAAGCTACTTTTATTTTTGTGTACGTACATTACATTTTCGTAAATGTATTGAGAAGCCAGAGTTAAAATATTAATTTCCTTAAATTTTTGTCTCAGTGACTCTTTTGGTTTTAAATTATATATTGCTCTAATGGCCCTCTTCTGTAAAATAAATATAATTTCAGTGTCAGTCGCGTGTCCCCATAGCAAAATACCATACGACATAATGCTATGGACATAACTAAAGTAAACTATTCTAGCTGTTTCAACATTGGTAAGAGTTCTAATCTTTTTTACAGCATATGCTGCAGAACTAAGTCTGCTAGCTAGTTTTGATATATGGGGGAGCCATTGGAGCTTTGCGTCCAGTGTGATTCCAAGAAAAATGGTGGTGTCAACAAGACTCAGTTCCTCCCCATTTAAAATTACATTAGTATTAACATGTTTAACATTAGGAGTTACGAATTTCATACATTTAGTTTTAGTTCCATTCAAATGCAAATTATTAACATTAAACCAATTAACTAACTTAGCTATAGCATTATTTACTTCGTCCTAATTTAATAACTGTCGTTTTAATTTGAAAATTAATGAGTACCATTTGTACAATCGACCCAGAAGAACTCATACTATTAATGACAACTTTTTGCGTTCTGTCACTTAAATATGAAATAATTAATTTAAGAGCGTCGCTTCTTACACCGTAGTGTTGAAGTTTCCTGATTAATGTTTCATGGTGAACACAATCGAAGGCTTTGGATAGGTCACAGAACACACCCAAAGCATCCTGTGAATTCTCCCATGCATTAAATATATATTTAATCAGCTCAACACCAGCATCAGTTGTCGAGCGACCCCTTGTGAAACCAAATTGATTTTTATGAAGTAAATTATTTACATTAAATTTTTTTTACATTTGATCAAGAATAATTTTTTCAAAAATTTTACTAAGTGTTGGCAGTACAGAAATAGGTCTAAAATTAGCGGGGTCCAATGTACTACCAGATTTAAATAAAGGTATTACTTTACTATGCTTCATTAAATCAGGAAACACACCAGATTCGATACTAGTATTAAAAATAATAGATAGTTGAGGTGCGATTGTATCTATTATAGACGCAATAACTTCAACAGAAATCCCCCACAGATCGGTGGTTCTCTTAACATCAATAGTCTTAAAATATTTTACATTATCTTTTGATGACACTTTATGAAATGTAAAATTCTTTGTACACACATTTACATTTTGTTGAAGTAATGATTCGGCGACGGCAGGAGAAGAATTCAATGACTTAGTGGTTAAGATCGGAATATCAGTAAAATATTTCTCAAAAACCATTGCAACGTCCTGATCTGATTTAGTTAATTTATTGTTAAAACTTAACTGGTAATTTGAATTGCGAGAGTTGACCTTACCAGTTTCACTATTAATTATATTCCATGTCATTTTAATTTTATCAGAAGCAGTCTTTATTTTGTTGCTCAAATACAATAACTTGGCTAAGGAGCACACTCTTTTAAATATTTTGGAATATTTTTTTACATATTCCCTAAATTCGACGCTAGGATTATATGACCTTTCATTTTAAAGTTCATATAACCTAATGACCTTGAAAAATAAATTGTTCAAGGAGAATGTTTTAGAAGTAAAAGTATTATTAAATTCATTGCAAATGAGCTTAAATAACGTTCCATACAAAAAATTTGGATTATTTTAGTATGAAAGTAATGGAAGTTTTTTTACTATGTTACTTCTAAACTTCTCCAAGCGATGTGCATTTACTGATACAAACACTATTTTTTTATCTACTTGTTTTTGTGAACATAAGGTAATGAAACTAATTGTCCACAGTGATCAGAGCTCAATTTTTGAATTATACATTTATTGAACGGCTTAACATTTGTAAAAATGTTATCTATACATGTTGCACTAGATTCAGCAATACGTGTTGGCTCTAAAATAAATTTAAAAGACCATAAGATTTAAAAAATGATCTAAATTTAATATTGGTGGAGGAAGCTTCTAGGAGATTGATATTAAAGTCTCCACATATTACAACAGATTTATTCTGTTTGTTAAGCTTAGCGAAAACTTCCTCCATATTTTTTTCAAAAGTATCATATAAAGAACATGGGGGTCTGTTAACGCTCACAACAATGAGGTGCTCAAACTCAACACACGCCATTTCTACAGTTCGCTCAACAGAGAGGCCCACAATATCTTTACATTCTTTACATGATAATAATTTACTAGCTAAAATTAAGGAGCCACCTCTTAAAATTGTTTCTCTATTGAAAGAACTGACTACCTGGTGATTACTGTTAAACATTAAATTATGAGCTTTTAACCAATGTTCAGTAATACATAAAATATGAATATTGTTGCTATTTAAGAACAATTCAATTTCTAGCTCTTTGCCTATCATGCCTTGTATATTCTGATGCACCAGGTTTAAACAATTTTTATTATCATTTTGTGGAGTTATACAATTGCAACTATTAAGGATTTGTAAGCTACATTCTAAATTATTTAAATTATTATAACTGCTAGAGATTACCTCTATTGTCTTATTTTCTAATTTAAATTACTTGGAACGGATTCCAAATTGCATGTCAAATCATTATGCTGCTCAATAGGAGCAGATGTCTGGGTAGCCAAGTCCTTGACTGAGTTAATATATAAATATATAACACATTTGCTATCTGTCTTAAATTATATTTGGATAGGTAATACCTATCTGTAGTCAAAAATTTCTTAATTAAATTATTAATATCTATTAAATTAATTCTATAGGTTTAATTGTCACAATTAAATGTCAAATTTAAATTATTGTTACATGTTAATTATTTATTAATAAATTTAAATCATATCTTATTTTATTCTCCTGTGGCCAACCCTGTATGTAAGGCAATGTAAACAAGATAATTTTATGTACATTTAATGTATTGAGGTAATCAATATATTTTAATAATTGATTTTTGTTTACCTTGCCTCTTCTCCCAACAAGAATTATTAATGTGCTATTAGGACAAAACTTACTAGTTAAAACTTTATTCATTATATGACTAAAGGATGCTCCACGCATACAATAATTACTAGTCAATTGTCCTTTTAAATGGTTATTTAACATCATGCCCTAATTTTTACCTATGCCATCGCAATACATAATAAATTTATGTTTTTAATATTTAAACTACTTTTTAAGGTTTTATTCTTTGTTATGGCACTGTCATAGAGTGTTGATCTATATCTGTTTGAGAAGTTTCATTGCAATTTTTTCCGCCATTCCGAAGATTAATCCAACCAGACAAAATTTTTAAAAATATTATTCATGTCTTAATAGAATGCAAATAAGTTATTCAAATATTACAGACAGATAAGTCAATTTTATTTATAGGTATAAATGTGCAGTAAAAACAGTCTTACCAGTGCAGACTCAGACAAAAGTACTTGCTGAGAGATCCTGTCCCAAGTTTCACACATCTGTGTAATGCGCTTCACTTCGGAGTCTAGTTGTCCTCTAAAATAAGCCACTCTCTCCATATCACTAATAACATCGTTCAACAAACCTGAAATAAAAAACTTTATGTAAGTAAAATAAATGATATGGGACCCTTAACTTACAAAAGTAACAACATACTACCCGGGCGGTTAAAGAATGGGATTCGTAATGGCGTCGCCTCTTATTCACCTCTCGCTAGCACACTGTTGCTATCTATACTAACATCTGTCGCTAAAGACTACAAAAAATACTTTGCAATTTACGTTTTTCGTATGCTCTATTACTTCAGTAGAACATGTCATTTTTGTTTAAAATATTAAAAATTTTCGTTTGTCGGTCTGTACAAGCTAATCTTCAGAGTGGCTGAACCGATCGTAAAATAAAAATAAACTGTACAAGCTTATAGACTAATACCAGACGTGATCTGGGCTAAATTTAATTTGCAAAATTTAGAGACTATTAAAATACAGATATTGATAAGATATGTTATTTTAAAATTAATATACCTAATTGTATACAAATCCTTTCAAATATTAATATTTTCCCATTAACGAAATAATATTATAACAATATACTGTTATTAGTGGGTTTTCGCTATTAATACTGGGCATTTTGATGATAGGATCTCCATGAGTTGCTATTTCTAATCCCATTATTTACCCTTACAGACTGAAACTATATTTAGACTTTTCAGGAAGGGTCTCCTTATGATTCAGAGCCCATTGGGATTAACTTTGTTACTAACTGCAGATGTAATACTAACTATATGGTAAAAATAAATTCAAATGTAACTGTACAGTGGTGGTGTAAACATATCCCCTAGCCCATATCGTGCCATGGATGTTGTTAAAAGCATCAGAGCGAAACAAACCAGGAGATATATAGCAGTGTACCCAATAACAACCAGAAAATAAATTCAAATGTAACTGTATAGTGGTGGTGTAAACATATCCCCTAGCCCATATCGTGCCATGGATGTTGTTAAAAGCATCAGAGCGAAACAAACCAGGAGATATATAGCAGTGTACCCAATAACAACCAGAAAATAAATTCAAATGTAACTGTATAGTGGTGGTGTAAACATATCCCCTAGCCCATATCGTGCCATGGATGTTGTTAAAAGCATCAGAGCGAAACAAATCAGGAGATATATAGCAGTGTACCCAATAACAACCAGAAAATAAATTCAAATGTAACTGTATAGTGGTGGTGTAAACATATCCCCTAGCCCATATCGTGCCATGGATGTTGTTAAAAGCATCAGAGCGAAACAAACCAGGAGATATATAGCAGTGTACCCAATAACAACCAGAAAATAAATTCAAATGTAACTGTATAGTGGTGGTGTAAACATATCCCCTAGCCCATATCGTGTCATGGATGTTGTTAAAAGCATCAGAGCGAAACAAACCAGGAGATATATAGCAGTGTACCCAATAACAACCAGAAAATAAATTCAAATGTAACTGTATAGTGGTGGTGTAAACATATCCCCTAGCCCATAACATGCCATGGATGTTGTTAAAAGCATCAGAGCGAAACAAACCAGGAGATATATAGCAGTGTACCCAATAACAACCAGAAAATAAATTCAAATGTAACTGTATAGTGGTGGTGTAAACATATCCCCTAGCCCATATCGTGCCATGGATGTTGTTAAAAGCATCAGAGCGAAACAAACCAGGAGATATATAGCAGTGTACCCAATAACAACCAGAAAATAAATTCAAATGTAACTGTATAGTGGTGGTGTAAACATATCCCCTAGCCCATATCGTGCCATGGATGTTGTTAAAAGCATCAGAGCGAAACAAACCAGGAGATATATAGCAGTGTACCCAATAACAACCAGAAAATAAATTCAAATGTAACTGTATAGTGGTGGTGTAAACATATCCCCTAGCCCATATCGTGCCATGGATGTTGTTAAAAGCATCAGAGCGAAACAAACCAGGAGATATATAGCAGTGTACCCAATAACAACCAGAAAATAAATTCAAATGTAACTGTATAGTGGTGGTGTAAAAATATCCCCTAGCCAATATCGTGCCATGGATGTTGTTAAAAGCATCAGAGCGAAACAAACCAGGAGATATATAGCAGTGTACCCAATAACAACCAGAAAATAAATTCAAATGTAACTGTATAGTGGTGGTGTAAACATATCCCCTAGCCCATATCGTGCCATGGATGTTGTTAAAAGCATCAGAGCGAAACAAACCAGGAGATATATAGCAGTGTACCCAATAACAACCAGAAAATAAATTCAAATGTAACTGTATAGTGGTGGTGTAAACATATCCCCTAGCCCATATCGTGCCATGGATGTTGTTAAAAGCATCAGAGCGAAACAAACCAGGAGATATATAGCAGTGTACCCAATAACAACCAGAAAATAAATTCAAATGTAACTGTATAGTGGTGGTGTAAACATATCCCCTAGCCCATATCGTGCCATGGATGTTGTTAAAAGCATCAGAGCGAAACAAACCAGGAGATATATAGCAGTGTACCCAATAACAACCAGAAAATAAATTCAAATGTAACTGTATAGTGGTGGTGTAAACATATCCCCTAGCCCATATCGTGCCATGGATGTTGTTAAAAGCATCAGAGCGAAACAAACCAGGAGATATATAGCAGTGTACCCAATAACAACCAGAAAATAAAAAACTATGGTTGCCAAACCGCCTGTCAAACATGGCAACTGTGGCAAATATTCCCCATTTGAGGCAATCTGTCAATCAGCAGTGGACTTTGATAGGCTATAGTGAATCAATAAAATTCAATATGAAAAGAATGATACATATATAGGATACAGGTATAGCAATGCTTTTTTTTGTGCGAGCATCTATGCAGGTCTAGGGAAGGAGACCAGTACCACTGCAACCTAAAAGATCTATTGTGATCGCTGCTATGGCTATAGTTCACTGCTAAGCCCTATGTCTTCAATGAATAGGAGTTGCTTAGCCGTGAGTAATTTCGCTTCTTCTAGGCGGAGTACATAGTTTCCCGGATGAGTGCTACATTTGCGCATTAAGGGTCCACAATCAGTTAGGATGTGCAGAGGCATTTCTTCCGTTATGGAACAGAACCGACACAGCCTCGATTTGCTTAGTCTCATGATGGACATGTGCCTTTTACTACAACAGTGTCCAGTTAGGGCTCTTGCCAGAATACGCAATTTATTTTTACTTAATCCCAGGGCTGCTGAAGCGAATTTACAATCAAAAGCATGGATTAAGGTTTTAGAATGTTTTAAGCCTGGTGTGTTAGACCAGATCTTAAGAGATTTACTAAGATAAAGAGTTTCAAGGGTCAATTGGGCTAGGCTACAAGTACAAGTTTGTCAGCAAATTCGTTGCTTACTATGCCAGTGTGACCCGGAACCCATCTAAAGATAACCCTGTATGTATAGCAATGTTTATTTTCATTTTAAATACCTTTTCCTATTACACAATTTGTCAAATATAAAAACGACCAAATAAAATTTATGTAATAGCATTGAATGTTTCACACTGCTTTCTGCATGAAGTGAATATTTTAAAATATGTCTGTACAAAATGGTTGTAAGAAAATATAATTTGTAAATAAGTTCAATAATTAATATGTATTAGTAAATGATGTGTGTAGTAAACATATACTATACTATTAAAATCATACCTCCTTCCATTTTCTTACTTGGAGAAAGTGTGACACAAGGACTTATTTTTTGAACTTCTACAATTTGTTGCTCTTCAGTATTCAAAGCCTTTGGAGACCTAAGTCTCTCCTCTGAACTTTTATTTTTACTTTTAGGATATTCCTCTGATTCTGATTTTGTTGATGAGCTATTCGATTTATCTAAATTTAATGAAGGCTTCTTTTGGCTAACATCTGGCTCTACTGGGTCAAACGTTATATCAATCTTTTTTCTCTTACTTTGTACCCTTGCCAAAGTAGGAAGTTTTTTTACATTTTTAAGCTCCGGAGGTTTAAATGATGCATTACTTGGTGCAAATGAATGTAAAGGTTTGTTTGATTTTGAGCCTTTAGAATGTTGTGTAAATTGACTTTTAGTTCTCATTGGTCTAGGTGGAGGTGGTGGAACATATTTAAGCGGAAGGTGCACAATGCCAGCAATGAACGGTTTCTTCTTCTGTGCAGCAGCTTCTTTCTTTCTTCTCTCTTTTTCTTCTTTCCATTTCTCCAACTGCATTCTTCTGTGTTCCACAACTTTCTGACTCTCAGACATTGGGTCAGGCACTTCACATTTGGGCAAGTTTCTTGAATTATCAAAAGTAGATAATCTATTGCTTTTTCGGCGTATAGTATTGCTTTCTAAGCACTTTTGAACCTGTAAGATCATGAATATCGATTGTATTGTAAATTGTGGCAATAATAATTACCCTTTCTAGTTTTTAAAAGAATTTATTAACATACCGTGTTCATGATGAGTTACAATATGATTAACAGCTACGCTCAGAATATGTAGTTTAGGTTCATATGCTTCTTCTCGTGATTCTTCAATAAAGAATCTAAATCAATTCTTATCTGAAAAAAAACAAATACAAAAAAACTGTTACTGTTTTTTTTCCTAGTTTGGCAACTTCCTATGGATTCTGCCAGCGTCAAGTTTCATGAAAGTCACACAGAGTATTCGACTAGTTTCCATTTCCATAGAAATGTTTACTTAGCTTTATGATATCAAGTTACATAGGTAGTTATTTTCGAATGAATTAACATAATTATAGTGGTTTTACAAAATTATTGCAAATATAATAAATAATAAAATGGATATAGGTAAGTGGTCAAAGTACTATAAAATTTGATGTTATTAATGGATATGAAATCAGATAAAATTTGTACAAAAGGAGTGTAAACTAAATTTAACAAAGACTTAAGATTTATAGGGCGAGGAATCTTATTAAGAAGGAAATTGTATAGTGAAACAGAAAGGTTAGGATAGTTAAAAAATTTACGATCGTACCTTACTCCAATCCACACTCACAAATTGAGCTATCTTTAATCTTAAGTTTCGTCAAAAATACAGGTGAACAAGTGTGTCCCAATCTAATTCTACATATGACAGATGTACTATGTTTGGAGACATTTCTGAATTTAAAAAACCATGGTTTGGAGGGGATGTCAGGTTGGAGTTCTGCATAATATTTACTGATAGACTTCTGAGATTTTTTCCAAAGAGAGTTCCAAACTGATATCTGATGGATTTTCACAAGAGAAATAAGGTCATGAGTATATAAATGCAAAGTAATATGATGCATGAGGGTACCGGAAGTAGATGCTTGTTTTGATAAGGAATCGACAATTTCCTTGTCATGTATGCTACTATGACTTGGCAGCCAAGCAAGTTTCAAGTTAATACCTTGACAGAAACATCTATACAGTGCATCTTTTATTTTTAAAACAATAGGAAATTTTAATTTACTTCGAAACGGGTTAGATGGAAATGCTTTGTAATGAACTATTATGAATCGGTAAAAACAATACATTTGTTAATTTTGTGAGCTTCTATACATAAAATTGCTTGTAAAATAGCAACAGCTTCACCGGTGAAAATTGAAGTAGCATTTGAATTTTTAAAATAATTTTATATATCAGTATCCAGACAGCTGAACCTACAAAACTATTATCAGAAAGTCAGAGGCATCAGTGAAAAGGCTCAACCAACCTTCCCAGTTTTCGCTTAAAATACTTAATCAATTTTGTTGGGCTACAGGATAAGAGCCGTTATAGCTCAGATGGTTAACGCTCGCTGTAAAATAACAGAATGCGAGTAACCCAAGTTCGATCCCCGCCGGCACCAATGTAATTTTAAGTGCTGATTTACAACGTGCTCGGAGGTGAAGGAAAACATCGTGAGGAAACCTGCATGTCTGAGGAATAACAAAAAAAATTCGAAGACATGTGAAGTTCGCCAACACGCATTGGGGCAGCGCGGCGGACACTTTCTTGCCCTAAACCCTCTCAGAAATGAGGGGGGGCCTGTGCCCAGCTTTGGCATGTATATAGGCTGTAACTTTACTTTTTACTTTTACAGGCTAATTTTTAGCTACCCCAAAATCTAAAATAACTGGAGGATGATAACATAGAGCTTCAAACGGATATACTAACAGAGGATTAAACATACTTTGAAATATTGGAAATATAAAGGTAATCTTTTGATAGCTTTTAAGGATGCAGGGGATGTCTTTATGAGTCCAATAGTTGTTATTCTTAAAACCAGAGTTTTAAGAATGCAGTTTAGAAAGAAGTGGGTGTGAAGATAGCTAAAATATTCTATATATAAAGCGATCGGCAAGATACTGTCTACGTAGGTTAAGAGGGGGTTCGCAACATTCAACTTGTAGAGCATTTGACGGAGATGATTTCATGGCCCCCAAGATAATTCGTAAGCATTTGAGTTGGATTTTATGTAAAAGCTTGTTTATTACAAGGTTCCAAAAGAATTGTACCATAGTGAAAATGACTACAGATTAGAGCGTTATATAAAAGTTTTAAGCAATATGAATGAGATCCCCACCAAATACTTGTCAGTGAGTGAAGGATTTTCGCATTTTTGGGCAATAAACATTAAATGAGGAATACCTGTCATCTTAGAGTCCAGAAAAACTAGGAATTTGACATTATCACTTGTCAGAATTATTTGATTAGTACTTAACACTGCGACAGTTCCATTAAAGAATCGTGGCCATGCTTACTTATATTATTCTATATATATGAGTATCGATAGTTTCTCAAGAGACTCGGTTAAATTAGGAGGTAAACAATGATCGTCAAATTTCTAAATGATACGATGTAAATCTATTAAATTATCATTTGGAGAAGTATGGCTAACATTATCTTTAGGGTAAGCACTTTCATTAGGAAGAGAACTTCATGGGGTTTGGATCATGGATTCATGGGCTGCATGATCATACCCATGATCGGATGCTGGAGAACACAATTTTTTTTATATGAATTCTTATTACTAGTCTGAGAAGTTGGATTTAAAGAAGTTTTGGTTGCAATATCTGAATAAGCTCGTTTTGATGGGCGGACTCCTACAGATGCTTCATCATAAAAGATATGTTCTTGTGATATAATTACTTTAATAGATTTTTGTCTACTAAATTCTGGACAGGATGAACTAATAGCTGCATGATTACCAGTACAGTAAAGACATGTGACCGAGGTAGCTTCACATGTTTCTCTTATATGAGGTTGTCCACATTTATAACAATGAGGGTTAGATCTACATTTAGACTTAACATGACCAAAACGACAGCAGTTATAACATTGTATTGTAGGTAAGAGGTAAGATTCTACAGGATATGAAGTGAAATAGGCAAAAACATGTGAGGGTAGTGATTTACCAGAGAATGAAATAACGATAGTTTGTGTTGTGATCCACTCAACAGCATTGTCTGCTTTAATAACTTTACGAACGACGACGACGAAACGAATTCATCCATACCAACATCGACTGGAATACCTCTAATGATACCCATTATCGCAATAGCATAGGTAGGAATTACGGCTACTAAATTTGCTTTAGCAAGTAATGGACTTACAACAAAATCGTTAGCTAGTTCGTGTGAAGAAAATTCAATAGAAATTCGATTGCATCCTATGCTCTTAACACCATTTTTTAAAATTCCCTGAATATTATTTTGGTTAAGAAATTGACCCACTTTAATTGACTTCATTGTTGTTGCCGAGGAGGGCTCCATTGGCGGTTTTATAATATGAACAATAAAAAGTGCACTGTCATTACTACTGTAGCGTTTCTTTTCTTCAGACAAAGGATGAACAAATATGTTCTGTATGGCTGCTGAGGGAAGAGAAGACACTTTCTTCTTGGGTTCTAAATTTAAGGGCGATATATATTAACTAGCTTAACAGTATCAGTCTGATGAAAAGAGAAATTCGATTGCGTCCTATGCTCTTAACACATTTTTTTTAAATTCCAATAATATTATTTTGGTAAAGAAATTGACCCACTTTAACTAGCTTAATTGTTGTTCCCGAGCAGGGCTCCACTGACGGTTTCATAATGTGAACAATAAAAGGTACACTGTCATTACTATTGTAGCGTTGCTTTTCTTCAGACAAAGGATGAATAAATATATTCTGTATGGCTGCTGAGGGAAGAGAAGACACTTTCTTCTTGGGTTCTAAATTTAAGGGCGATATATTATAAGCTTTACGTTTCATAGGCTTAACAGCATCAGTCTGATGAAATGTATCGGTAGAACTAGAATCGAGAAAAGTCAGGCGAAGATCCAGATTTTCCGGCATCATCCGGAGGATCTGAATCCTGTTCAATCTCATCCATCCCCAGTAGATAAGCTAGCTACGAATAATAACAAACACTTACGTACAATAATTAGTTTAAAAATAAGGAAAATATAGATATTCAAACGAAAATAACGCCGTTAATTAAAAAAATTCTGAGAAAATTTATCAAACCCGTGTGACAAACATGACAAGAAATTATATTGATAACTGTGTAAATCTCAAAGCATATGAGAAAAATTAAAACTAATAACTAAGAAAATTAATTATTTACCCAGTGGTGAATCCTGTGAGAAAAAATGAGAAAGAAATTTCAAATAACTGACACAAAGCCAAACATTTAAAAAAGATATACATAGACAAAACAAAACGTAATAAAGCCATTTAAACGTCTATGCACATAAATTTAATCTGTGTCTATGCATAGATTACTGAATACTATGTACCGTCTATGGAAAAAGTTGGGGTTGTATAATTTGCTTTTTCACCTGGAATTTTTTATGTCTATGGATTGCAACTGCTTGCACCCATAGATGGATAATATCTTAGAGTCATTACGAATGGGTCGGCTCGGCTCGACCAGGGAAGGACCACGCTCTCACAGAATACCGGCGTCAAATGTGTAAAGTGTAGGGAACCGGAGACCCTTTTTACTGGAAACGAGGCATTCCATCTTAGTCCTTACGGGTTACAATCTGCATTTTGATTCGCAATCGAAGTTACACACAGCAACCACTTACCGTCAGGTGGACTGTGTGCTCGTTTGTCACCCTATCCTACAAAAAAAAAGTCATTACATACCGTAGACAGAGAACTGTCTACGTTACATACACAATGGCTGCGTTTGGCAGAAAAAGCGCTAGGAATATTGAATAGAGAAAGGCAAGGAAGCGCTTGTAAGCAAAATGACGAAACTATACAGTTTTCGGCCAGGACATTGATTTATATATTACACTAGATCAGTAATAACCGCGCCAAAGCGTTGCCACTGCACATATGGCCACAGCCATATGCCTAGCTAATGTCAGTTCAGTGTTCAATGTGACGCCGACAGAGTTGAGCCGCGACAAAAAATGGGTGAATTTGTAGTGAAAGAATGCTATTCAAGGTCACAAAAACGTAATAAATCAAGCGAAATCACTTTTAACACATAATTTTTAGTTCATATCCCTTAGTTGCTTAATATTGCCACTTTTCCGCATTTGTGATTAGCCTACATTAATGGGAGATTATGTAATTAATGGAGTAAGTTAATTTGTTACCTTTGATTTTAAATATTTTGGAAATTATAATAAAAAACTACGTTTTAACTTTCATACAAAATAATTAGTTATTCTTATTTTAGTTTATTCATGAATTATCTATTAAATATATTTTATTACCTATTTTATATTGTTTGATTTATTGGTACAATAAAAAATACTTATAAAAATGTGTTTTATTTCATCATTACGTTTACTTCTATTCATCTGATAAGCTTTGTATCTTTTTTTTCTAAGGGGACGAAATAAAGATTTTAAAATAAAATATACTTTTTTAATATAAAAACAATTAACTGCATCCTAAAAAAACTCATTTTTATTGCGTATTGTAGGTAAAATTTCACATAGTAAGCTACACCAACCCGCCATTGCATGTTTGTGTATCTATCTTTATCTAATCTTAGCGACGATATTGTTTTTGCAACTTGTGTAAGTGAGATAGATATATATTTATTTAAAATTGTTATTAGTTTCAAAGTTACGTCGTCGCGTTTGGATTGTGGTTACACTTTTTTCGACGCGCAGTAATGTGTTTTGCTCCATCCACTAGTGTTGTTTATCTCAATGGGCCGGGACACGTAGTTCACAACTCTCACACGCCATTTTGCTTATTTATTTTGTTTGTTTTGAAGTATAGTTTATAAGTTGTTTTGTGCAATTAGTTTCAAATAATATAATGACATGAATAAACATATTAAACATGTTATTAAAAATTCATGATTGGTAAGTTTTTAATATGAATACTTTACAAACATATATTTATATTAGATTAGGTTCCCCTGTTAAAGCTAACTTGGTGCTATAGTATGTGCCAAATCGATTGAGAAAAACGGACAATGACCTCAGATATGAGCTGAGTGTCAAAAGGCATAACTTACAAAATCTCAATTTAGATGTGATAACAATATTTAAATATTTATATTATTCACACGTCTAGGTCAGCACATATGTGTTTTTTTTGTTTCTTAAACAATATTGTCTGTGGTTCCTATAACATCGTAAAATCTTACGGTACATCGCGAAAAATGTGTTATATTTCAATTTATGGTAAATAACGCAGCGATTCATTTAATAACAGTTTCATATTAAAAAAAATATTTGAAGCAATATAATCACCATATTGAGCTTTTGCAAATTCATCCCTTTAAAATAAACAAAACGCGCGTTACGTCAGTTCACTTTCAATTTCGTGTTCGGATAGCGCTTGCGTGTGTACGTCTCGGGTATTTCATACCATCCACTGCATTGTTTTAGTTAAGTTTTTACTGTTAAATTTGTTATTCGTTAAGTTTTTGTTGCTGAATCTATTATATTAGTTTTACTGCGACAGTCGTTACAAAATCGACATAAGTTCAGGAGAATCTGTCCGGTCCTGACCGGTGTAACCTATTAACTAGCATTACAGCACCGGTGTAACCATCTTTCCTGTTTTCGAGAAGACAGACAAAACCAGGAAGTCGGAAGCGAGATTTCGGGTGAAGCCAAACTTCTGATATTCCAACAAGAAACGGATTGTATTTGTTGATTAGATAGATTAAATCGCCTTTTTTATGCTTAATACTGTGACAGTTCCATTGAAGAATCTTGGCCATGCTTACTTATATTATTTAAGAGCATTTATAGTTTCTCAAGAGTCTGGGTTAAATAAGAAGGTAAACAATGATCGTCAAATTTCAAAATGATACGCATAAGTGTGGATATAAATTTAATGTAAATCTATTAAATTTTCGTTTGGAGATGTTGGCTAACATTATCTTTAGGGTAAGCACTTCCATTTGGAAGAGAAATTCTTTGGGTTTGGATCATGGATTCATGGGCTGCATGATCATACCCATGATCGGTTGCTGGAGAAGATTATTTCCTATTTATATAGAAAGTTTTCTTTATATGAATTCTTATTACTAGTCTGAGAAGTTGGATTTAAAGGAGTTTTGCTTGCTATCTGAATAAATATATCTGATATCTGAATAAGCTCGTTTTGATGGGCGGACTCTTACAGATGCTTCATCATAAGTGTTACTGCCTCAGGCTACCCTGACTATGGTCGACTGCACTAGGGCCCATGGTAGTACAGCTTGACGGGTAGGCAAGTGGAGGGTCAAAGACCTGTGGAATATTAAGCTATAGCGGCTAACAAAGAACCAAACAAAACTTACCGTTCGTCGTCGAGGTAGGGTAAACCATAGGAAGATTCAGGCGGAAATGTTGGTGTGTGTGTGAGTCATAATTAGTACGTGTTCAATTGTGTAACCTGACATCCCCGCTGGTTGGAGAACAGCAGATCCAAAGGCTTCGCCTTTCTTCAAATATGGGATCCATATAAAGGGCTTTCAGCTACAGAGAACACCTCAGCTTCTAGGAAACTACGCTCGCATATCACTTATTATTTATTGTCCAATTAATTGTCTTTAAGTTCAAACCATCAAGTCCATCGACGTTAATTAGCGACACGCGGTACAACTCAAGGACAGTGGGTCAAAGTTCAATGTATAACACCGCGTCGATTCAATTAACTGCATAAAGGGTCCCTTAATCATTACAAATTCCTAGCCTTCCTCTGTCATTCAACGCGATCAAAATAAACACTAAATTCGAGGCGGTCTAGGTTATATTCTATATTCAATATTAAGTTCAAAACGGCGCGCTCTATTAACACAAGTCTTGAATATATAAGCGACCCGGGCTTCTCACAATAAACTAAAGAATTAAACCTAGTTATCAATTCGTCCTCTAATATAAGATAACTTAAGACCGTACTTTCGCAATTAATTATCGATGCGCAATTATATTACTCTAGAGAGCCCAATCGGGGAACGTCGCGCCTCGGCGCGGGCGCTGCGCGACGAGGCTCGCAGTCTCGCGACGGACCGCCCGGCTTCGCCGCCGTCTTTCTTCCTTCGCGGCTCGATGCAAACAGGGCAGACTGCGCTGCACGCAGTATGCAGCTAGCCTCCCCCTCCCGCACCTCTGGTAGTCGTTGCTGCACCCCGCTCGAGATAAGACGACCTACTATCGAGCCTAAACAATAAGGCATATGTTTTTGTGATATAATTACTTTAATAGATTTTGTCTACTAAATTCTGGACAGGATGAACTAATAGCCGCATAATTACCAGTACAGTGAAGACATGTGACCGAGGTAGCTTCACATGTTTCTCCAACATGAGGTTGTCCACATTTATAACAACGAGGGTTAGATCTACATTTAGACTTAACATGACCAACACGACAGCAGTTTTAACATTGTATTGTAGGTAAAAGGTAAGGTTCTACAGGATATGAAGTGGAATAGGCAAAAACATGTAAGGGTAGTAATTTACCGGAGAACGTAATAACGATAGTTTGTGTTGGGATCCACTCGACAGTCCTGTCAGAGTTGTCTGTATTAATAACTTTACAGTTTAGACGACGAGTGCAAATTATTTCCGTAGAAGAAGGAAGAAACGAATTCATCCATACCAACATCGACTGGAATACCTCTAATGATACCCATTCTCTTAATAGCATGGATAAGAATTACGGCTACGAAATTTGCTTTAGCAAGTAATGGACTTACAACAAAATCGTTAGCTAGATGGTGTGAAGAAAATTCAATAGAAATTCGATTGCGTCCTATGCTCTTAACATCATTTTTTAAAATTCCCTGAATATTATTTTGGTTAAGAAATTGACCCACTTTAATTGACCTAATTGTTGTTGCCGAGGAGGGCTCCATTGACGGTTTTATAATATGAACAATAAAAGGTGCACTGTCATTACTATTGTAGCGTTTCTTTTCTTCAGACAAAGGATGAACAAATATGTTCTGTATGGCTGCTGAGGGAAGAGAAGACACTTTCTTCATAGGTTCTAAATTTAAGGACGATATATTATAAGCTTTACGTTTCATAGGCTTAACAGCATCAGTCTGATGAAATGTATCAGTAGAACTAGAATCAATAAAAAAGTCGGGTGAAGATTCAGATTTTCCGGCATCCTCCGGAGGATCTGAATCCCGTTCAATCTCTTTCATCCCCAGTAGATAAACTAGCTACGAATAATAACAAACACTTACGTACAATAATTAGTTTAAAAATAAGGAAAATATAGCTATTCAAATGAAAAGAACACCGTTAATTAGAAATTTTCTGAGAAAATTTATCAAACCCATAGCACAGCGGTGACACTCCCTGTATGTGAGAGCTTAAGCGCCGGTGACCTTGCGTCGAAGCGTGTAACGCTAGGGTTGATATCGAACCGAAATGAAATATTATAGACTTGTACCAAATGAAATATTATAGACTGGTACTCTAATCTCTCGCCGGTGGCACTCCCTGTATTACTGATACTTACTACTTACTTCTAGTAATAAATAATAATGCTACTATGTTGAAAAACCACAAATTTGTATTGGTTTTCTAACATTTCACATTCAACCCAAATTAGTACGAATATTTTCTTAAAATATCCTAACATTTAGTACTGAGATATGAGATTGGATATCCTGATTATAGTCACAGAGTACCTTTGTATAAACTGAAATAAAGACCAATATTCAGCCTATATAATGGCAATGCATAACTAGCGCCATCTCGTATCCCCAGTTAGCAACCTTATTGTAATATCTATAAATATAAGCTTATAGTACCCGGATGACCGGTTTTTTTAAGTTACATGTAGATACAAATTACATGAATAATATTTTTTGATCTTATTGACATAATAGAAAAACCTGAACTGGTTATTTGAATAAAAAATCATGAGTGCGATTAGTTTAATTAAAAATTTTGGTATTTTTAAAAAAAATAAAAAGGGCTCGAAATTATATATTTTCTCACAAAATAACGGAACTTGAAAAAAAAAGGAACAAAAACCGGACCCAAAACGGGACGCGAACCAAGACCGCTCAATATCCAATTGAGCTATTACGATCATTAACAAAGTGTCAAAATTTACCTTCTTATATTGTAGCAGTTTTTCATTGCCTGAAAACACGGACAAAAAGACATTTTCTAAAAATAAATCCTAGCTAGATCGATTTATTGCCCCCGAAACTCCCTGGACACTAAATTTTATGAAAATCGTTGGAGCCGTTTCCGAGATTCCGATTATATATATATATATATATATATATATATATATATATATATATATATATATATATATATATATATGCGCTGTTTCGGAAACTTAAAAATTATTACAGATAAAATATAAAACAAATTTTAAACTTTAATTGTAAATGTTGTATTCGTTTAAAAACACTACGTTATCCCGCTTATAACTAACAGTATGATACGTAATAGAAAATTAACTTCTAAAGAAAGGAAAATATTTAACTCTCCTTTTTTAAGTTCCGTAGTCGGATAAAAAGTAGCCTATAAGTAGCCCCGGGTCACTAACTACCTACACACAAAATTGCGTGCGTGAATCTTTAATACACATACAGACAGACAGACAGAAAGACAGACAGACAGACAGACAAAAATTCCAAAAACCAGTAATATGGCTTCAGTATCCTTTATTTAGTCCCATGAACTTGTTTTTTCCAGGAAAATATATATATATATATATATATATATATATATATATATATATATATATATATATATATATATATATATATATATATATATATATATACTTGTTCTCATCACAGATATAGGTATTAAAATCAAAATAAATATAGTAACATTACATTTACAGGATTTATTAAAAAACAGCACACAAATACAATAATAGTTATTAACAATAATAAATATCAGTACTAATATAAAAATAAATTATTTGATAAATATTGTAATAATGCATTCTATAGACTCATAGAGTATATCTAACCTATTTAATAACGGCATATCTGCTAATTATAAAAATACATATGTATAAGAAAAATAAGATTCATTAATCTGACTTTTATAATTTGGTAGTTCAATTTAAGCATATTTATTATTACATATCATTGATAAATTAGTTTACTGCCTCGTTTGTCTAGCGGTTGTAGTAGTGCGACTGCTGATCATGAGGTCCTGGGTTCGAATCCCGGGTCGGATCGAAAAATCAATTATTGAGTTTTTCTGTCAAGAAATTCTCAGTAGCTGCCCGGACTCAGGAAGTTGGCGGTGTTTTACCCCCGTTCCTCGGAAAGCACGTAAAGCCGTTAGTCCTGCAACTGATCTCTCTCCGGTCGTGTTGGTTTACCGACCCATCGGGTTATGAGAGTGAGGGAATAGAGAGTGTACCTGTGCTCTCGCATACACTTGGGCACTATAATCCTGTCCTGCGCCGTTGGCTAGCCTCCGTCGAGGAAGACCGTCGTGGCCGAAATTCGGTCTGGAGGACATTATTATTAAATTAGTTTAGAACGCACGAATATATAAAATTCGTAACAGTAATTAAATATTATTAATTCATTATGGTAGCAACAAGAGTAATTATTTTTTTCTTTTAAAAAGTTTACTTCTTAACTGTTTGGCTTTAATTTGGAAATAGTTCTCATCATCATCTACTTCTTTTCTCCCAGCTAATATTCTATTAATATTTTTAAAACTATTAAAAATCGAACAACGCATCACAATATTAATCAAATAATCAACTAATTTATTTTTATGCACATTACATTTCATAAAATCAAAATCAATTAAAGTATATAATATGCTTGTTTTTATAATTTCTTTTAACTGAACATTTTCAAAATTGTCCTTTGAAATATGATCGATTATATCCTGCATATCTGAAATTGATTGAATCAAATCATTACAAGGAGTACAAAGCCACCGTCTACTTGCATATTCTCTGTATTTTATGTATTCTATTTCATATTCAGAAAATAGGTCATATTTACAGTTTTTTTTATTTTTAGAAAAAGGGCTTTGTCGCTGAAGCGATTATGATGCCCTGGTACAACAAAATTCTTAAATAGGATAAATACTAACAAATAAACTTGTTAATTACTTAATCTCTTATTTACTAACATAAAGTTTTTTAGCATCATCTGATAACGGGTCTGATAAAATACTATTAATACTGGTGAGGTAGTCTTTCGCATCAAGTATAAAATTGCATGGAATGTGCCCAGATCTGAGTCTTAGTGCTATTACAGTATTGCGTCAACACAATATTCGGTTATCTATGCAGGTTGAGCGCATTGGGTACGGCTGGATCGTACGGTACCATATACCCTTCTCTTTTGCTCTTTCGTCAAAATATTTCTTCTAGAGTTCATAGCAATATTTTTTTAATAAAGGTATATAATTTAGAAATGAAGGGGTAATATTAATGTCAGTGCCTTCCGAAATAGCTTGTTTGGCTAAAATATCAGCTTTTTCATTACCCTCTAAGCCAATGTGCGAAAGTATTCATCGTAAATGTACTATTCTGGAGTCAGCCTGTAACTTAACTAGAATCTTATGCTACTGGTAAGCCTCGAAAAACCGAAGTACACCGAGCAAGGTGTTGAAGCGCACTCCATGAATCTGTTAAAATAACGACATTGCATATTTACAGTTAACACAATGTTTATACTTAGTTTCATTGTAATTTTTTTAATATAAAATATTAGTAATACTATTAATTAACATTACTAATATTCCCTTTAACCACTCCTGGTAAGCTGAAAATGCTTGTGTTAGGAGTGGTTCACGAAAGTAGTCGAATGGTGGATTCAAACCCGCGACCTTTTGGGTTCGCAGTCCGCGCCCTGCAACTAGCCTACTGTCGCTTGTATTAAATTGTGTTATAATTGGCGTGAGGTTTATTTCTAAAATTTATGTGAAATCAAATGTGCAGGTTGACGATGCTTCTAAGTTTTCATTAACAATAAGAGTGTGCTCAGAATTACAATATTCTACCTCGCAGTTTTTACCATGAGTGTGGACGCTACTGAAATTATTAATCAAAAGGGTAGCAAAAGCTGACTCATATTGGTCACAAGTTGGATTAATATTGCGGCATCCATGGCGTCTAACCGATCCAAAGCAATTTTCCAGTGGGTTCTGATTTAGATGACGCAACCACACTGATGTAATGCCAAAATCAATTTCAATTTTTTAATAAAACTTCCATCCCTTCTAGTGTCTACACCCAATTGTTTACAATTGGGATAGATTCTACTAGTGGAAGATATAAAAATCATAGACGCAAAAACTTTTTTGGCATCCATCCATGTTTTGTGATGTATCGAGTGAGCTGTTGCAGGTCCAAGTAGAGTTTTGGCATCTTTTCTTATTAAAAGTGCCATTAACTGAGTCGAAACTATTATCCATAAAAGCAGCAGATCAGCATCTTTGTACTGTTCTGGAATGATACCCTTTATCTTTTTCTTGTCTGCCAATGTTCCTCCTTAAAATTAAAAATTAAAAAAAATATCAACCAGTTTTGTTTAAGAAAGAAAAAAAATAAACAATTATTGCAACACCCTACAAACATTGTTAAGTATTAGTATTAGATAAACATATAAGAGGTGGTGGTGGTGGTGCAGCAATAATCAAAATAGAAAGGGGTTTTTTATAGAATAGGGTGACAAACGAGCACACAGTTCACCTGATGGTAAGTGGTTGCTGTGGCCCATAGACATCTACATCTATCCTCGATTACGAATCAAAATGCAGATGCGTTGTCACCCGTGAGGACTAAGGTGGTATGCCTCGTTTCCAGTAAAAAGGGTTTCCGGTTCTCTACACTCACCATACGAAGCACAGCAGCATTAAGCTACTATTTTAGGCTGGTATTCTGTGAAATCGTGGTCCTTCCCCGGTAAAAGAGGGCTGATAAAATACTCACAACGCTATTATCATTACAAATATTCCCCATAACCACCAGCTTAAAATGCTTGTACTAGGAATGGTTCACGAGAGTAGTCGAATGGCGGATTCGATTTCAAGACCTTTTGAGTTCGCGGTCCGCACCCTGCTATTAGGCTAACATAATGATTTCAAAAGGAAGGATACGCCCATCTAAATATTTTACTCATAACTTTTTCAAACAAGAAAAAGTAACGCATCTGTCATAATACAAACGTCATACATACACGACGTA